TGCCTATTTAATTCTCGTAATAGCTATGAGGAACTGAGTAACTTAACACAGCTGAGGTTTGAACCCAGGTCCTTGCCCTTTCCGCTACACCAAGTGACTGTTGCTCAGTAGACTCCTACATCATGGCCATTGTGACTTGAAAGAGTTATAGTTGTTTGTGCAGAAGTGATACTGAATGAAGGGGGCAGGGGCACCCCGAATCCTCTTCTTGGAGGCCTACCGAGGCCCTTTGTACAGTGTGACGTGAGGGCCTAGCGCTTGGGGCAGTTTGCCATTAAAAATTAGCTTCTATTCGTGTTTCTTTTGTCTGGTGATCTGACCCAACAAATCGCTTTCTGTTCCCTGAGCGAATGGGGAAAACACAGGGCTAAACATAGCCTTGATTGTTTTTACTTTTCTCATATTGTACTTCTCAAAGCGATAAAGATAGAAACAATTACAATATTATCTGCCTGCAGACTGAACAAGTGGCCACCTGGCTGGTGTTGATACCCAATAACAGTGCTTTGCATTTTCTGAGTCTCTTAGACATGACTCTGCCAACCCATCTCCTGGCTGAGTCACACATGGCCACATGGCCCAGGTGGGGCAGACAGTTCAGGCCACAGCCCAGGTTGGACTTACCTGGCCAAGGAAGACTCACCTTTGCCAAGGACAAAAGACAGGTGTATCCAAGGGGACACCACATCCTCTTGTAGCTTTTATCTGCAGTTTGCAATCCACTCCCTCATTCATGCACCACTAAGGGCTGCTGTGTGCCTTGCTCTGTGCTAGGCACTGGGGAGCCACACTGGGGCTGTGCTTGAGAGTCTGTGGCTTTAGGAGGAGAAGTAGATGTGTAAGCAGATCCCTAAAGTTCAGGTACCTCTGTGCTGTACAGTCACAGAGCTAGGAGAAGGCGTATCTTCAGAGGATCTTTGAGTTGGCTTTTTAAATGAGGAGACTCTTGGTGAAATGAGGATAAAGGCAGGAAAAGAACATTCCAGGCCTTTGCAAGGGTGTGAATGAGTGAAAGAGCTGATGTTGGGGGAAGCTACAACTTCTCTTCACAGTTAAAAACTGACTCTTCGAATCTTCCCTACAACAAATCTTATAGGCCATAGAAGCTTACTCTGTAACATAGAAGGAGTAGGTCCTGTAGGAATTCATCACCCAGCTCTGATGTCCCTGGGTTTTGGTGGTTACCTCAAGGCCCAGCAAGTTGGACTTCCAGCCTTTCTGCATATAGGTCTTACCTGTGCTTGCTCCTGCAGTCTAGTTACTTAAACTTTAGTTTTATAAAGAATCGCTGGTGCATAAGAATTACCCTTTTGGGTTGTCTACACAAAGCTGGGTGGAGGAGGTGTACTTTGTGGGCTGGTTCAGGAATTCTTCAAGGATGGTTTTGACTCTATGTGATTATTTTCTGACCTCCACTGTCATAGGAGGTTTGCTACCTGGAGTGTAGGGTTTGTTGGGGGAAATGATGAGGAGATGGGCCCGGGTGCCAGTCTGAAATGCTTGTCTTCTTTCCCAGAAGCAGCGGGTGACAACTGAAGCGAATAGGCCACAATAGGTGGGGGCTTCAGGAAGTTATCTAGAGGCAGTGAAGAGGTAGGCCTGGAGTAGGGAGGCCCTGAGGGATCCCTTCAAGAAGCACCAAGATCGCAGGCTGGCCATGGGAAAGGAAGGGCAGATGGGAGGGATGGTTTAGCTGCCTCCCGATTTCCCTTTCTTCTATGATTTCCCTAGAGATGGGAAAAATTCCAGGCCAGTGGCGCAAAAATGGAATAGAAAATGGCATCCTCTGAGAGTGGGATCAACTCCTTTTCATCTCACGGGTTTCCCCGAGGCCTGGCGGAGACACAGTCTGTAGTATGTCTCAGGCTCCGTGAGCACCGGCCACCCTTGCTGCTCTGTGCCAAACCCGTTGGTTTTTTCCTCAGTCGGCCACATTCCTGGCCCATCTGGTGCCTCAGTGCCTTGTCTCAAAAGAGAAGTTAGTGGCCAGCGTTTGGTACAGCAACTTCCTGAAAACCCAGAGGAGCCAACTCAGCAGAGGGCGGGCTGTGGGCCCCCACCCTGACCCTGGCTCACTTCCTGAGTTCAGCAAGGGCACAGCACCAGTGGGCTTGGTGGTCACATCCCCCACATATTCGGTAAGACATTTTTTCTCAGAACATTTGGAGACTATAGAAAAACAAAAGAGAAAAAATAAATTAACCAACCAGCTGTCTGCCAATCCACTTTAACATTTTGGTTTATTTCCTTCTTACCTTCACATACAACAGACATATTTTGCTAAGTAGAAATCACACCCTCTATACAGTTTTACATCCTATTTCTTTATGCTCAACTTTATATTATTATCATTTCCCCACATCATTTAATGTTCTTTGAAACTCTGCTTCTTCATGCTCCATGTTATTCCTTGATAATTTATTTAACCAGCCCCTGCTGTAAGATGTTTTAATTATGTTTACCATTTTGCTATCGCTCATCATTTTGATGAACATCATCATACATAAATCTTCACTTTTTTCTTAGGATAACTTTCTGTTTTCTTTTAAATTAGATAACTGGGATATTTGTGACTCTGTCAACAAGAGTTTATATTTCCTTTAATTTTACTTTATAGCCGGTCACGGTGGCTCATGCCTGTAATCCCAGCACTTTGGGAGGCCAAGGTGGGTGGATCACTTGAGGCCAGGAGTTTGAGACCAGCCTGGCCAACATGGTGAAACTCCATGTCTACAAAAAATACAAAAATTAGCTGGGCTTGTGGTACACGTCCATAATCCCAGCTACTTAGGAGACTGAGGCACCAGAATAGCTTGAATCTGGGAGGTGGAGGTTGCAGTGAGCTGGGATTATGCCACTGTACTCCAGCCTGGGCCACAGAGCCAGGTCCTGTCTGAAAAAAAATTTTTTTTTACTTTATATTAGTTTATTGGACTTTCAGCTGCTGCCCAGTGTCAAGTTGAAGCTGATTTAATAGAATGGTGAATACCCAAAGGGAATGGTTTCCTTGGTGGTGAAGCCTGTCTGAACAACCTAATATAACTTGCAGGAAGGGGTACGTTGGATGGTTTTTGGAAGTAATTGATCCAGTCTAGTTGGAGGAGCAGATATTGAGACCTGCTGTGGTCAGGCCCTGGGAAATTTCAGAGATGAGATGAACGATGTATGATGAAGGAATTGGATGTTTAGCGACAGTCTTGCTTTGTTGCAGCTGGCTTGCCTGGGCTTTTGGAAGGTTTCTCTCCTGCATCTCCAGCTTCTGAGGCCCTCCATGAATACAGCCTCTGGATAATTTCTAGCAGTGTCCCCTGCCAGGGTCCCAGCCCCTCAATCTGTATCTCATGACCTTGGCAGGATGCCCAAGAGGAAGGAGTACCACTGTTAGCTGTGCCTTAGCTTTTCCTCTGGGCTCCTGGCCCTCCCTTTGGGCTGCACAGGTCATTCCCGTTGAGTCAGTCAAGAAGCTGCTGCTTGTGACGCTCAGCTGGCTGTGTCTCTTGGTGCCCTTTGAGGAGTGGCCACTGGTAGAGGAGATAGGTTTGTAGTCCTTGCTGCCTCGAGCACTCATGGGTTAAGTCTCAGTTTTCTGCACCTGAGCCCATCTTGCCTGACCCATAAACTCCTTAAGGCCAGGGCCAGAGTCAGGCTCCCCTGCAGTCTGCCTCAGCGCTGCAGTGTAGTGAAAAGGGCCTGTGCTCTGGGGCCTGACTAAGCTGGGTTTACATCCTGTCTGGTGCTAGCTCTGTGGCCTTGGGCTAGTTGCTGAATGTCCCCCAAACCTTGATCTCCTGATCTGGTCCATGATGGTACCTGCACTCAGGGTGCTGTGTGGATTACACAGCCCGGGTGAATGCTCAGTAAGTGATCTGCATTGCTGTGAGACCCTGCGTGCATTTAAATACCTACCAAATATCATTTCAGGTTTCACTTGTATTCTTCTCTTGACTGACTCAAGCCATTCACATGTGCATGATTTATAAATATATATAGGTTCGAGAAAATAGTACTAACAGGTTGTTCCCTGACAGCATGGCATATTTCTTAACTTTGCTTTTATACCGTAGACTTGAATACAAGAACTATGTCAAATTTATCTTTGCATCTCCTAAAATTCCCCACATGGTGCCTGATTTCATAGTAGAAAAACAGTAAATAGTTCTTGAATATTTCACAAAATAAAGGGTCAAGTGCAAATGTAGCATTTCATAGCAGGATAGGTTATTTATTTGTGTATTCAAGTAAAGACCTGAATGCATAAGTTTAAGTGGTGCCCTTAAGTCTGTGAAGCCCAAGACTTGTTCTTATAGATTTTAATTGCTTTAAGTGAAAAATCGAGTGAACACAGAGAAAATGCTGTGATTGGCAGCCATTGGTGACATCGATGTTGAGCATTTTGATGGAGGTGATCTAAATCAGTACCAGCTCCAGCTTCTATTAGCAAAGGCTTTCAAGGTGGAATTGGGGTGAACTAACCTGGCAGTGCCCCAGCCATCTTTTGGCCTTGGCCATCTGAGGTGTTGAGACATCTTTGGTTGTGGTCTTCTGCCAGGGCATCGAGTCCCCGTCCTGAGAACTGCAGAGAACCCAGTGGCACTTAACGTATGTCTTGTCCTGACTGTCTTACTGGCCAGGGCAGGGCTCAGGGCAAGTCGGTTTCCCACCCATAAGATGAGAAAGCATTTTGGATGAAAAATATTGCTTTGGATTCTCCTGGGAGACAGTATGGTACACTGGAAAGAAAACCATATCAGGAGTCCCAGGGGTGTATCTGGATTCTAGGCCCTGCTCCGCTTCCAACTTCCAACTTAAAGCCTTGAGATTCACTTCTCCTCTCTGAGCCTCAGTTTCTCATCTGTAAAATGAGGTTGGACTGGATGGTTTCTAAGGGCCTTTTGGCTCTAAGATACTGTGTTTGAAACGGGCTGTTGGTGTGGAGATATTAAAGGGCTGGAGTGAAGGCCTTCTCAAATCCTGTTTTCTCCTTGTCATTTATGAACCAGAAAATGACAGATGGCGAGACCTGGACAGGAAATGCCCTCTTCAGATTGACCAACCGAGCACGAGCATCTGGGAATGCCTGCCTGAAAAGGACAACTCACTATGGCACCGGGAGGCAGTGACCGCCTGTGCTGTGACCAGCCTAATCAAAGACCTCAGCATCAGCGACCACAACGGGAACCCCTCAGCACCCCCTAGCAAGCGTCAGTGCCGCTCACTGTCCTTCTCCGATGAGATGTCCAGCTGCCGGACATCATGGAGGCCCCTGGGCTCCAAAGTCTGGACTCCTGTGGAAAAGAGACGCTGCTACAGTGGGGGCAGCGTCCAGCGCTATTCCAACGGCTTCAGCACCATGCAGAGGAGCTCCAGCTTCAGCCTCCCTTCCCGGGCCAATGTGCTGTCCTCACCCTGCGACCAGGCAGGACTCCACCATCGATTTGGAGGGCAGCCCTGCCAAGGGGTGCCAGGCTCAGCCCCGTGTGGACAGGCAGGTGACACCTGGAACCCTGACCCGCACCCCATGGGAGGGGGCCGGCTGGACCTGCAACGGTCCCTCTCTTGCTCACATGAGCAGTTTTCCTTTGTGGAATACTGTCCTCCCTCAGCCAACAGCACACCTGCCTCCACGCCAGAGCTGGCAAGACGCTCCAGCGGCCTTTCCCGCAGCCGCTCCCAGCCGTGTGTCCTTAACGATAAGAAGGTCGGTGTTAAAAGGCGGCGCCCTGAAGAAGTGCAAGAGCAGAGGCCTTCTCTAGACCTTGCCAAGATGGCACAGGTAAGAGCCCCAGCATCCTGGAGTCACCTTGGTGCTCACTGGAGCCTCTGCTGGGTCTGGGCCGTCCTAGACAAGCATAGAACACCAGTTTCAGAAATACCCAGGAGTGGGTTAGTTTCCTTGTTTTTAAAAATCCTTTTCAAAGAAAGATTATTTCCAGTTGGTTTTTTAAAAGCGTTTATTTCTTTCTATTTACAACCAAATATTCCCTTTCACTGTGAGTGCAGTGCTAGGGGTACAAGGGCAGGTGGATGGGGAGAGGTGGGCTGTTGGTGGGCAGACTCACTGGACCAAACACTGGTGTTCCCCTCCGGCCCTTCACTGAAGCCATCTCTCCCAGGAAGCCGCCCCTGCAGCTGCTGCAAGAAACGTTTACACACACTGGGATTCAGTGTCCCTTGGATTTTGCTGGTCCTGAGATCAGGGGTGTGGGTAATGGTTTCCGAGAGCTAGTGATTGTGGAGAGCTTATTCCTTTGATTAAACTGTTGAAATGTGAGGCCCTCAAGATGCTGTGACCAACATTCTCTGAGCTGCCTCTGCAGTCATCCTTGCCCTTTGCTGTAGAAGTATCTGGCCACACGCCCCTGTCACTTGGACTTTATCCTCTTTGTCTTGGAGCTCTGCCTTGTGCTAACACTGATCTTGGATATTGATTTGAATGAGATGAACTTGGAGTTCATACTCTGTCATCAGGAGCGTCTCTGAGCCTGAGAGTTGGCTGCATCTGGTTCTGGCTGGGGATGAGGAAGTGGTGCTGGCCCTTGTGACCTCCGACTCAAGGATGGGTGGATGTGATGGGCCACAACACTATTGGCTCTGTGTTCATCTAGGAGCTGTCAGTTGCTTAATGCCGCAGTCTGACCATCATCTTTTCTGGACTTATTTATGTAAACATTGGTCTCACTGGGTTTCAAGGGGTGAAGATCTTCTTGTTGGTGAGGATGGTTTCAGAGGGGTTGGCCTTGGTCACTCAGCACTATGGCCACATCCAGGGCAGGAGGGCTCATCGTGCTCACTGTGTTTTGGGCGGGCATAGCTGACTTCCTTCCAAGCCCAATGTTGTTTTCTCAATTGGATCTTCTTTCCTTTTACAAAGAATGTGCAGTTTCTCTTCATGGGGTTTTGTTATTCTCTCCTTTAGTTCCTACTCCCAACATAGAGGTCTACCCAGAAAAGAAGAGGTGCAGGTGTCTGAAGTCTAAAGCATATCTGGCCCCAGAGTCCAGACTTTCTGGCTACCTTTGTTCAAGAGCCTGGGCACTGGCTGGGGCAGTGGGAGGGCAAGATGGTGGTGTGCTTGTTCCTCCCCTGTGTCAGTGGGATCCGCCTGGGGGAGAGCCTGAAGGGGTGTGGGTCAGCGCTCCTGCCCCTCCTCAGCTAGTTTCCACTTCTTTCATCGTGGCTCCAGGCGTGTGCCGTTCTTTTTGCAGTGTAGTGGAACGTTCTTGACTTTACTAGCTGGACAGGGATTGAACGCATTTATTGGACACCAAGAGGACTTTCCCTTCTCCAGAAAAATGTAAATAGGTAAAAAGTCTGGAAAGGTGACAGATTTGGGTGACTTCTGAGGAAAACCCAGAGCCCAGAGTTCTGGGTATGATAATGCTTCAGTTACATTTTTAATGCTGAGCATATTTTATTACCTAATGAGTAGATAGATAATAAAAACAACATACATGTTATTATATGTTACTAGCCACAGCTGGAATAACACCACTGGCATCATTGGAGACATTTCTTGACCTCGTTTGGTTAGATACTATTTAAAAATACAATGCTCAGTGGGGCTGCGCCCAGTTGTATAGATGGCTTCATTGGCCCCAGGCAGGCCTCCCAGATCTGGGAAGGTGCGTGGAACCTGAGGAGGCTGCTCTGGCTCAGCCTGTCTGTCCTTGGCCGCCTTCTTGGCAGCGGGTCTTGAGCACAGGGAAAGTAGAGAGGGGCCTCTGGAAAGTGTGTGTGCCCAAGGCCTATGGCCAGAGCCCTGAGGCTGGGCCCGTGAACGCTGAGCCATGCCCCCACCAAGAGTCTAGACCCTAGTCAGCCCTCTTTTCATGGGGCTCGGCCTGCTTTGGCTCCATCATCAGTTGATTTCTAGCCTGGGGAGGTGGGCCTTGCTTTTCTGTGGGGCCCTGAGAACGAAGCCTAGGGTATCCATACTATGTATTTATCAAGAGCCCTGGACAGTGCAGGGCCTCGTGCATGGTAACCTGATGAGCTGGGCATGTTGCTGGTGTACAAGGACTAACATGTTGCTAGATGGCCACTGAGGTTAGACCACTAGCCACAGACCCCAGTTTCTACATGCTGTGGCTTCACTCAACATTTGGGACCACTGAGAAGGGGCTGGGGTCTGCTCTGCATGCCCATGGAGGCAAGACTTGGAGTTGGGCTTTCCATATCTTTGGAAGGGTAGGCTTGTACCCAGGTGTGGCCCACGCTTCCTTCCGCTGGGCTCTGGCTTCTCTTTCGTGGGCCTTTTGATCTTGGTTTACACATTGCCTTTGGGGGTGAGAGCTCCACTTGTGCATTCTTGTAAAGGCGCCCTTCGTATGTGGGTTCTGAGGCCAGGTGTGTGTGAGTCTGCAGAAGGCCTTTTCAGTTAGACCTTTGGAGCAGCTGGCCATTCTGAAGAGCCCCAGCTCCCCTAGAGGCCCCGACTGGGGCCCAGAGCAGATCTTGAGGGTGTGCGTGAGTACATGGGGTCTTCCCTCTGGCCATGATTCGGTATGGCCAGGTGGACTGTGGTAGTTGGAGCCCCTCCAGCCTGCCCGCAGGAAAGGGTCCAGGGAGAGAACCCAAGAGAGTAAGAGGGCAGGAAGCTCCGAGGTCCAAGGCCCTGTCCTCATCTGTATCCACAGTTGAGTTCAGCAGGAGCAAGTGCCCTGGGGTGTAGACTCTGTGCTAGAAGCAGAGGATGTCAGGAGATGTGACCTCAGAGCTTGTCCATTCCAGTCCCTCTTGAGGAAACTGAAGCTCTCTTGGTCCCTATGCTTGCCAGGGCTCTTTTGGGCATGGTGTTCACTTTTGGATCTGCATTTAGAAGGCGACATTGACACACTAGAAGGCCTCCAGAGGTAGGGCCGGAGACTGGAAGCCCTAGGCAAATTGCTTGACATGTCTGTGCAGCAAATGCCACCACTGCCACAGGACTGTGGGAGGAGCAAGAGAAACAACGTATGTGGATAATGCACTATCCATATGGGTGTGTGTTTATATATGTGTGTGTGTCCACATCTGTTGATATATGTGTGTGTGTGTCTGTGTCTATATGTACACACACGCCCCCCACCCAGTGCTTTGGCTGGCACAGGCTGGGTGCTGACAGATACTCATGATCATCGTCACAGTCACGGGACTTGGAGGGAAGGTGTGGGCTGCTTCTGGGTGCCTCCAGAGGCAGAGGTAGGAGCAGAGGGTGGACGTTCCTGGGAGGTGCCCTCAGTCTGCTATGAGAATGCCTATTTTTCGGGAGGCTGAGGTGGGCGGATCACAAGGTCAGGAGATCGAGACCATCCCATCCCGGCTCACACAGTGAAACCCCGTCTCTACTAAAAATACAAAAAAGTAGCCGGGCATGGTGGCGGGCGCCTGTAGTCCCAGCTACTCGGGAGGCTGAGGCAGGAGAATGGCGTGAACCCGGGAGGCAGAGCTTGCAGTGAACTGAGATCGCGCCACCGCACTCCAGCCTGGGTGACAGAGCGAGACTCCGTCTCAAAAAAAAAGAATGCCTATGCCTATTTTTCTTTGTTTGTCCACCGTTTTCCCTGTGTTTCCATCCTCCCTTTTCTGTTCATGCCACTTTCTGTGTCTTGTTTGTTCGTCTTCTTGCCTCATCGCTTTTCTTTTGTAAATGGGAAGGAGGCCTGCCCTGCAGCTCAGCTCAGCCTGCAGTCAACTCTGTGTTCAGAGCCCAGGGTTATGAAATGGTGACAGAATTGGATTCGCCGCCCCTCTTGCCAGAGGAAGTTGGCCGTGTGTGAGCATTCTCCTATCTGTCACCCTTGAAACGAGGGTGGAAATATCCCGGGGGCGCGCTGGCCACCCTACCCCTTTCTAGCCGCATCCCTGGGGGACAGCTGTCCCAGTTAACTCTTGTCTGTTGGGGATGAGACACACAGGGTGGGGTGTCGACATTGCTTTCAGATTGTCTTTGCTCATGTCTTCTTAAAACCCCAATGCCAAGAGAGCAGGCAGAGATGCTGAATGAGGCTGCAGGTGAGGTGGCCATCTGGATCCTGAGTCGGGGAGACTGACTGTAGTGAGGAAAGCGCTAATGGGGGAAATGACGCAGGGACCTAGTCCCGCAGTGGCTGCCCTCCCTGTACTTGTAATTACAACCACTTGGTTCCACAGAGCAAGTTGCCCAAAGGCAGCTCAGAGGACTGGCTGTGCTGCTATCCCTGCGCAAGCCTGGCCCCGTGGGCCTCCTGCACAGCTTTCCTCCTCACATGGTGTTTTTGGCCCTCCTGGTTGGTGTTCTCTGTGAGGCTGCAGCCTTCCTTTTGCAGAATGACAATGTGTGCCATTGAGGGCAGGGCCCAGCCTGAGGGTGTGACTCGTTTATTAGCAGGACTTTTGCTGACATTTTCCTTACTGCTTTTTTGAGACCTGGTTTGACCACCCAGCATTGGTTGGCTCCCAGCAAGACTTGAGCTATATGAGGCCATTTAGACATAGATCACATGTGTGTGAGCAAAGATTTCAGAAAAAAGCAACAATTAAAAAGATCACCCATTGAATGCAGTCCCCCTGGGTGTCATAGTCCCTGCTGTATTTTTAACTCCAAGCTGGTCATCTTGAAAGAGCAACAACAGAAGCAAGATGTTTGTGGGGAGGGGTCAGGATGCCGAAACAGAGGTTTGATTGATTGCAGCTGCCCACACACTGAGTCCCCAAACCTCCCTGAGCAGGCCTCAGAACAGGCAGCAACTGTTGTGTTAGCAGATGTTTGAGAGACCGTGAAAGCTGGCCAGGGGCAGTTTGGGGTAGAAAAGA